AAAAAAGAAAGAAAAGAAAGAAAGAAAGAAAAAGATGTCACATATAAGACAAGAAAAGAAAAAAAAGAAAAATGAAAGGAAGGAAGGAAGGAAGGAAGAGAGAGAAAGAAAGAAAGAAAAAGAAAATATACTTAAATAGCTTCTCATTGCATTTAGGATAAAGACCAAAAAACTTCTTCACATGGCCTATAAAGTATGCATGACCCTAGCCTCTTCAGCTCTTCAAGCATGCCATGCCCCGTCTACCACAGGCCTTTGGACACGCCATCCCCATGGCTGGAATGCTCTCTCCCTTTTCTCCCCAGCAGCCCCCTCCCATGCCTGCTTGACTTCCTGTTTTGCATCTCAGTGATGGTGAGGTCTCAACTAGACCATCTCGTTGCTCCCTGTATAGTTTGTGTGATTAAAGACAGCTCTATTATAGGCTCCAAGAAGGTTGAGTCCATGTTTGTCCACAAAACTGTCGGGTTTTTTGTTTTTGTTTTGTTTTATTTTGTTTGAGACAGAGGCTCTGTCATCCAGGTAGGAGTGCAGTGGCACAATCTCAGCTCACTGCAACCTCGACTTCCCAGGTTTCAGGTGATTCTCCTTCCTCTGCTTCCCAAGTAGTTGGAACTACAGGCACGTACCACCATGCCCAGCTAATTTTTTTTGTATTTTTAGTAGAGACGGGTTTTCACCATATTGTCCAGGCTGGTCTCAAACTCCTGACCTCAAGAGATCTGCTGGCCTCGGCCTCTCAAAGTGCGGGGATTACAGGTGTGAGCCACCATACCCAGCCCATATAAATGGAACCTTATAAAATGCCACAGTCATTGTGTCACCTTCCTCTGTAAAATTATTCCTTATGAGTTCCTGTCTTCCATATGAAAGTCTGGCTGTCTCTTAAAAACCTTCATTGCCTTTGAAACTGACAATAATCTACAATACAAATTGAACTATTTCATTCTAGGGGGAAACCTTGGAGATCATTGTAGTCCAAACGCTCTTCATCCACATGAGAGGAATGTAGTTTTTATTCAAATGAGAAAAACTGAAAGGCAGCCTGCAGTGTAGTGGGAAGGAAACTTGCTTGAGGTCATGCAAACACTCACTCTATACCTATCAATCACTGCACTGGAGGTAATTAAGCCTCTGTACCTGAATGCCATATGATGTTTATTTTCATATGGCATTTAGACTCAGAGCCTAACCATGCTGTAGAAAGAACATTGGACTAGGAATTCAAAGATGTAGGTTTATCCCAGTGAGTCACTGAGTAGCTTTGAGATGTAAGGCAAGCCACTTTTCTTTTATTCAGTCTTGTTTTTCTTGAGAACATAATGGTATCGTTACCCAGCTGTTGTGAAAATCCTAAGAGTGTGAATAAAATAACCTTGTAATACAAAATAATGTAGAGTATTTACAAAGTGTTATGCTGTGTAAGTAATCATTGTACCTACATTGAGGCAAGATGAATTTCTGCCTTAATAGCTATAAACTGATGAAAACAGAGATTCTTTAAATGTCTCTTTTCTCTTCCTAGAATAATGATTAAAGTTCTAGTTGAAATCCACGGAAGAGGCTTAGGATTAGAAATTAGATGACTGGGACATAAACACTGCTACAAACTAGTCATGTAATTTCTCACTGTCTCCCAAACTCATATTAAATGGGGAAGATAACACCTGTTCCACTTCCTTCACTAAGTTGTTGTTATCATCAAAAAACCTTTGGGGCAAGTGAAGTTCTAAGTTTATGTATGAATGTACACTCTTTTTTTGAGAGGGAGTCTTGCCCTGTCACCCAGGCTGGAGTGCAATGGTGCAATCTCAGCTCACTGCAATCTCCGCCTTCCAGGTTCAAGCAATTGTCCTGAATTAGCCTCCTGAGTAGCTGGGATTACAGGCACACACCACCATGCTTGGCTAATATTTGTATCCTTAGTATAGACGGGGTTTCACTATGTTGGCCAGGCTGGTCTTGAACTCCTGACCTCAGGTGATCTGCCTGCCTTGGCCTCTCAAAGTACTGGGATTACAGGCATGAGCCACCGTGCCCAGCCCACTTGTATATTAAGAGTATAAGAGTATAAAAGATATGAGCATCTAAGAGAACTCATTAAAGATGTTCTCATTCAGCATGTAACAGAAATCACTTAAAAATCTTATTTAGAGGCCAAGTGCAGAGGCTCACACCTATAATCTCAGCACTTTGGGAGGCCAAGGAGGGCGGATCTTGAGGTTATGAGTTTAAGACCAGCGTGGTAAAACCTCAACTCTACTAAAAATAAAATTGTCCAGGTATGATGGTGCATGCCTGTAATCCCAGCTACTGTAGTGGAAGGCTGAGGCAGGAGAATCCCTTGAACCTAGGAAGCAGAGGCTGCAGTGAACCAAGACCATGCCACTGCACTCTAGCCTGGGCGACAGAGCAAGACTTCATCTCAACTCTTTCCCGGAGTTAGTAACAGCTGAGGTGGTATGAGGAGGACCAGCTCTCAGACATGTGAATGAGGCCATCCTGGACCTTCCAGCCCAGTTGACCCTCTGGCAAGTGTATGAATGTGCCCAGATGAAACCAATAGAGGAACCCCCATGCCAACCATGGAATCAGAAGAAACAATACATCATTGTTGTTGTACACTATAAATCTTAGTATGATTTGTTTTGTAGGAATAGGTAGCTGGAACACATTGGTATAAATAAACAGTGGCAAAAATATGTGAAACTACACACACTGAGACATGTTACGTAGCTCAGAAAGTTGCAACAGAATGATAGATGAACACTGGAAAATCCAGGGAATAAACTGCATAGAATAAATCTTGGAGCAAGATGTAGGAGACTGCACTGGTGACAGGAATCTAGAAAAGAAAACAGAGGCTGGGCGCAGTGGCTCACACCTGTAATCCCAAAGCTTTGGGAAGCTAAGGCGGTGAATTACTTGAGATCAAGAGTACAAGATCACCCTGGCCAACATGGTGAAACCCCATCTCTACTAAAAAAATACAAAAATTAGCCAGGTATGGTGACATATGCCTATAATCCCAGCTACTTGGGAGACTGAGGCAGAGGCATTGCTTGAACCCAGGAGGCGGAGGTTGCAGTGAGCCAAGATCACACCATTGCACTCCAGTCTGGGTGACAGAGCAAGACCTGTCTCAAAATAAAAATAAAAAAAAAAAAGAAAGAAAGAAAAGAAAAAGAAAATAGAAGGACCCATGTGCATGCCCAGGAAAGAAATACCACCATTCCTTCATTTCTTGTGACCCTCAAATAAGGTGCCTTGGAGGACACAATGGAGGAGAAACTGGCGTTCTTGGTTTTCTGATTTTAGATATTACTTTCTCTAAGAAATCTCCAATTCCTACAAATCTGGACCATGTACCATTTCTAAGGTCCCTCTCAGAGCCCTAGGGGAATCACCTGCTCATGTAACCAGAAGCTTTTTGAGACAAGAGTCCCTGTCTATATGGTTCACAGTTTTTTCTTAGCACAATAGGTTTTCAAAAACCTGAATGAGTAAATTAAACTTAATTTTATGCATTCTCCCGCTATACATTATTATCCAAGTATATACTAAAAATGACCCCAAGCTGGGTGCAGTTGCTCACTCCCAGTAATACCTGTAATCCCAGCATATTGGGAGGCCGAGGCAGGAAGATCCCTTGAGCCCAGGAGTTTGAAGTTGCAGTGAGCTATGATCATGCCACTGCATTCCAGCCTGGATGACACAGTAGACCCTGTCTCTGGGCAGACATGGTGGCTCACGCCTGTCATCCCAGCACTTTGGGAGGTCGAGGCGGGTAGATCACCTGAGGTCAGGAGTTTGAGACCAGCCTGACCAACATGATGAAACCCCATCTCTACTAAAAATACAAAAAAAAATAGCTGAGTGTGGTGGCAGGTGCCTATAATCCCAGCTACTCAGGAGGCTGAGCCAGGAGACTTGCTTGAACCCTGGAGGTAGAGGTCACAGTGAGTCAAGATTGCACCACTGCACTCCAGCCTGGGCGACAGAGTGAGACCCCATCTCAAAAAAAAAAAAAAAAAAAAAAAAAAAAAAAAAAAAAAAAAAGACTTGTCTCAAAAAAAAAAAGGAGACCTGTATGCAGATCATCAAGAGAGTTGAGCGCTACTGATAGTCTCCATTTAAGACAGAGGACACAAACTCCCCAGCCTTTATCCTTGTTTCTGACCACTCACTCCGTCCCTTCCAGTTCAGTGATTTTTCCTTTCAGGGAATGGGGAGGGCAAGTGGATAGGGTTAACTGTGTCATTTCTTGTAACCTGAAACACAACCTGCCAGCCCTCTAGAGCTCCTGCTAAGTATCTGGTGGCCTTTGGACAAGTGACTGGTTAGCTGCTTCTGCCATTGTGAGCTTTAGGACTCAGACCAGCTGGCATGCCTGCCTGGATTGGGTCAGCTTGCCATTTACAACATGCCCTACCAGCCTAGGGCTTCCTTATTTTACTTCCCCTTTTAATCAACTAATGTCCCCATCCAGGCTCTTATCTTGAAGACCAAGCTTTTCGTGAAATTTTATTTTAGGATTAACATGTAATCACAACGTTAAAGCAAGAATTTGACTTACTACTTGCTGCATGGCAAGCTACTCCCAAACTCGGTGACTTAAAATAACCATCATTAAATTCTGTCTTAGTGTGGTATGCATTGCCTGGGGTTCACCTGGGAAGTTCCTCTATCATTCTAGCTTGGGGTCACTCACAATTGCATGCAGAAGATGACCAGAGCTGGATGGTTGGCTCTGCGGTGCCCCTCAAAATGGCCTCTCTCCAATAAGGAAGTCTGGACATGGTGGTGAGGGGCTCAAGAAAGAGGAAGTAGATACTGCCCGGATGACTTCTTCTTCCTCTCCTCCTCTTCTCCCGCCCTTTCCCTTCCTTCCTTGTTTTTCCAGCTTTATTCAGAGATAATTCACATACCATACAATTAACCTATTTAACATGTACCATTCAGTGAATTCAGTGTTGTTGTTGTTTTTTTTTTCTTTCTTGAGACAGATTTTCACTCCTGTTGCCCAGGCTGGAGTGCAATCTCGGCTCACTTCAGTCTCTGCCTCCCAGGTTCAAGCGATTTTCCTGCCTCAGCCTCCCAAGTAGCTGGGATTACAGGCATGTACCACCAAGTCTGGCTAAATTTTTGTATTTTTAGTAGAAATGGGGATTTTCCATGTTGACCAGGCTGGTCTCGAACTCCCAGCCTCAGGTGATTTACCCGCCTCGGTCTCCCAAAGTGCTGGGATTATAGACATGAGCCACCACACCTGGCCAATTTAGTGGTTTTTAATATATACCTCATGCCTTATATGAAAATTATGTCAAAATGGATTATGAAACTAAACATAAGAGCTAAAATTATAAACCTATGTTTGAAAGAAAACATACAGAGCAAATTTCCATAGGCTTGGGTGAGGCATGGTTTCTTAGATAGGATGCCAAAAGCACAAGCAACATAAGAGAGAAACAGACAAATTAGACTATTTCAAAAGTAAAAACTTTTGTGCCAAAACAATGCCATCAAGAACAGAATGGGAGAAAATGTTTGCAAATTATATGTCTATCAAGACTTGCATCCAGAACATATAAAAAACTCTTAAGATTCAATCATAGAAGCCAGGCATAGTGGGTCATGCCTGTAATCCCAACACTTTGGGAGGCCAAGGTGGGTGGATCACCTGAGGTTG